AAAGTTTAGGAATTTTATTTGTATGTTATTTGTTGTTGAATAAACCACTTTTTTATACAAAATTGGCGGAAAAATATTAGAATAAAAATTGTTGCATTTTGGAGATGCCCAGCCCTAGTGTATCCATTTTTCCATTTTATCAATTTCTTCTTTTTTTTTCCTTGGCTTTCATAGCCAATGCATAAATTAAAATTTCTTCCTCCATAATTTCACAATTTCACAAATTTCAAAAATGAACACAATAAACAGCTGTCAGCACCTTTTCTAGAACTGACAAGGCTGTCTGCAAAACAAGCTTTTGTTAGAGCGCTAGAATAGCGAACAATGACTAGCTGTCATGAAAGTGACTGTGGTGAACTTGTCAGTGATGCGGAATCGGGCTGTAAAGCTATTCATAGTCGCCTTAGTTTCGTTTTTTCTGGCTAAGTACCAATTTAAAATTTAGTTTCGGCTGCAGCTGCAACTAAGTCGTAACTAGGAAGAAGTATCTTATCAAATTAAGGGAAAACAGATGAAATATGTAAAAATTAAGTTGGTAGAGGGTGATTTTGATAATATTGAATAATCTCCAATTAAAATTTACAAAGATCGATCCATTTTAATCGGAAGATGAAATACGAGTATGTACTCGATACTTTTGTTTCAATTGTTTACTCGAATCGTTGTTTCGATACCTACTTGGTATCCATGGTACTGCATGTGCCTATTTAAAATACGTTTGTGGATGAAAGATTTTCCACAAAAGTGACACACAAATGGCGATTCTCCAGAATGAGTGCGTAAATGAACATCTAGGTCTATTTGCCGCACATAACGTTTTTTGACAAACTTGGCATTCTATGGTAGCTCCCTTGTGATGGAGCTCGTGGATTGTTAGACCATTTTTATGAACAAATGATTTTTCACACTGAGCACATTGATATATTGGTTTGCGGTTGGTTTCGTGCGTTAGCCTGTGTTTTTTGTATGTATACGGAGTTAAAAAGCTTTGGTTACAGATGTCGCACGGAAATCTTTCCCGATTCTCATTGTGAATGAGCTCATGATTTTTTAGGGCACATGACTCCTTAAATGTTTTTGCTGGCGAAGGTAAATTCAACAAAGATAGAAATTAGTCCACAAGTTAAAAGGAACGGAAATACTTACGGCAGGCCTGACAAAGAAAAGTTTTTGGTTTATGACGTTGCTTATGTTTTTTATTTTCCCACATTCTTCACACTTCACCGGCTCAGACATGTCCTTGACTTTCTTTTTTGTTTTCACCTCGGATTTTACTTTGTTTGTTTTCTTTACGTTTTTTAGGTCTTGTATGAGCAAGATTGAGTTGTTTACTTTTTTCGATAAGACCAGCCCAGCTTCATTTAAGTTATTGCCGCTCTGCATATCCTTATCCGATTAAACTAGAAACTTTGTTGTTGTTGTAGTGTCAGTACTAAGTTTTTTATCAATATTTATTTCGTATTCGATATCATTTGATGCAGACGTTTCATCATCATCCATAAAATGTTCATTCCATTCTGGTGATACTTTTATATCCTCTACGTGATCCTTGTAAACAAATAGAAAATAATTATTGTTTAATTATATCTAAATCGTATTTGATATACCATATCTACAGTATCTGGCATCTTAGTTACTTCCATTAGCTCTTCATGTACTGGAACCCATTCAAAAGTGTTGGCTATACTTTCTATCTTCACTTTTTCCGTTTGTGTGCAACGTAATTCATTATCAGCCCTTCTCGCCTTTTCAATAAAATCATAAACGTCTTTAAGTTTTTGGGCACAATCAAGGCATAGATATTGCATCCGGGCATCATCGAGTTCATTTGGATCATCTTTCAAACTTAAATTAATTTGTGTACATTTACAAAAACACTCTTTGTATGATATATCCAAAGAGTCAACAGGCTGATACCAATCTAGCAGATGCACCCGATCTTCCGGCGACAAACAGGCACGGCATATATTTGATAAATCCATCTGAACTTTTCACCACTGCCGTATTGATAATTCAAGTCTTAATCGGTAAAAAATAGTTTTGTAGAATGTGTGATTATATATTGGTAAGACAGAACCTCAGTATATCCAGTAAAAAAACTGTGGTGAAGTCCTTTATGGGGATAAAGTTTCCAGAGATGAAATTTTAGGTAGCACACAATTTCTTACACGCATGGTTGCTTTTCAGCACTCATGAAAGAAACTTAAGAAATATTTGAAAAAAAAGTTCATATAGTACATTAATTTTTGAAAGAAATACCATATCGATGGCTGAGTGGAAGATCGACCTATCTCGGCAGCCAGTTCGAAAACGCTCTATCTCAAAAAACTTTTCAAGAACGCCCTATTTCAGAATTTAATTGAAAAACACCCTATCTCAAAATTCGGTTCAAAAACGCCCTATCTCACTTCAAAATGTATTGAAAATATGCTGATATAGGGCGTTTTTGAATCGGCAGCTGAGATAGGGCGTTTTTGAAACGAATTCTGAAATAGGGCGTTCTTGAAAAGTTTTTTGAGATAGAGCGTTTTCGAACTGGCTGCCGAAATAGGTCGATCTTCCACTCAGCCATCGATATAATGTATGTACTCTGGTTAATAATAAAAAATGTATTAGAACCACCGTTTAATGTTATATTTGATATAAATTAATATTGCTGCCCCGAACGCTCTGCGCCTTGCCCCTGAATAATAGTTTACTTAAAATTACATCCCTGGTCCTTGTTCTTTCTGTATCTCATCGTGGTGAATTCACATTTCTCAGAAATTTGACAACAAATCAAAACAAAGCGAGTATTTTATTTGCTAATTTTTGCGATTTCTATTGTTTAATGTAAATTTATGTCTTTTAAGGATATGTCGAGCCAACAAAGAAGGCGCAGTTGGAAAATTGAGTAATTAGTAATGAAGTAGCAGGCATATTTGGAAAATTATGCCGATAAGCAGGATGGAATTTGGGAAAGTAAGTGCATGGTTGCAGCATATCTATGTATAAAAAGTATTTAATTAAATTGTTTATAGAAATGTTATAAATCGAGTGGCTCATTTACGATGTGCTCCAAACATTTGGCGAACTTTTTTTCGCCTTTTCAACGTGCTAAGTAACAAGTTAAGAGGACTACCATCACGGCCGGTAAGAAACCGCAAGCAAAGGACATGCAACCTTCCAGGAAGCTGCCTCCTGTCCCCGAGTCGAAGCTGCAGTTCAGCAAGAGCAGGTCAGCAAATTGCTACCCTGATCAAACGTAAACTAAAGCGCTCTGCTGTGATTGCACTCCGTAAATTGGTGCATGCTGAGAAATATCAAACAAGAAAACTCCGTGATGGACGCCGTGAGATGGAGTAGCGCTGTGTGGCAAAGAAATGCGGCCAATTCGACGGGCCTGAAAAATCCAAATTGGCTTTTGTGATCCGCATCCGCGGTATCAACAAAGTTGCACAAAAAGTGCGTAGTTTTACAGTTCTGTCTTCGCCACATTAAAACGGTGTGTTCATCAAATTGAGCAAGGCAACTATTAATATGCTACGTATGCCGAACCCCCTATATGGGGTTATCCAAATCTTAAATCAGTTTGTGAATTGATGTACAAACGTGGAATGGTCAAGCGTGTCCCAATCTCTGCTTTGTGATCGAACGCAAATTTCGCGAAGCGCACGAAATTCAGTGCGTTGATTCACTTCACTTCAAGAAAGCCCCCAGCTTCCTGTTGCTATTCAAGCTCAACACATCAACCCGAGGCGCAAGAAGGCTAATCACTACGTTGAGGTTGGTGATTTCGGTAGCCGTGAGGATAAGGTGAACAAATTGCTGCACAAGATGGCTTAAAGAAATTGTTGTTTTGTATTTAAGTCGACAATATAATTTGGCACATCTTCAAAAGACGCCCAAGCAAAAAAAAAGAAAGAAAATTAAAAAATTCCTGAAGTTGCATTTTCACGGGTCGATTTCTGTCGACTGGAAAATTTACTTAAGATATCGACTAGCCAAAACGCTTACATTTTACGGTTGAATTGCAATTTACACGGGTAGATTTTGGTTAAACGACAAAAATCGACCGTGTAAAGGCAGCTTAAATAACGTTCAAATTAATCATCCCCTTTGAGATGGAAAATACCAATAACCATTTCATAATTTCGAAAATTATTCCATTTATATTTGTTCTTGCATTTTCCACACCACTTGTGAGGTATGCTTTTACGCGCGTTACCGATTTTTTTTTAATGTGCTCGGTTGCCCAGGAGGCCTATTTTCACCTTTACAACTTAACTTAAACAGAATTAAAACTAAAGCATGCAATATATAAAGAAAATGAAAAGTTGTCTTACATCTAGTAAACTTAAAAAATTGCACACTAAATTCATTTTTCATTATAAAATAAAATTAAATATCACAATTCCGTTTACAAAATGTGGTCTGTTTGCACCCACAGTAAGTTCCCATGAAGCCTAGCCTAAATTCAGAATTGAAAAAAAAAAAAATGGGGTCGGAAATTACTAGCCCTAAAAGCATAATGTGGAAAATGTTTGAAGAGCTGCGAAATTGTATTGCAATAATAAAAATTACAGTGCATAAATTGGAAAAAATGGGTTTTGTTTTGCTTTATAATTTTTGGGAATATTGGTTCAGATCAAGGCGAATTAATATAAGGTGATAGCAGGAGTACAAAACAAAAATTTACATATATTTTGTTTTTGCTTTGGCGGCATAAACTGTAAAAATGGAATTTTTTTATTTGTTTGGTTTTTCAGCTCGTTAATGATGCACCCAGGGTTGCATTTACTGTCTATGAAAATATTTCGTATTTTCCAAAATTAGCTCCGAGCAACTAAAAGTTGGTTAAGCTTAAGTGAAATAGTTTTTTATTAAATATTTATTCCTGGTATTTAGTAAAAAACATCAATACTAATGTATGAAAAACAAAACATCAATGCTAATGTATGAAATGAAGTAAATAAAAATCTACGAATACATTCCATGAATATTTTGTCATAGAGCCATTATTAAATTTAGACATAACTTTGTCAGGCGTTGGTACCTACGTATATAGAATTAATGCGTTGGAGAGAGATAAATAAACAAGTTCAACGCGCTAATTTAGGTATCCTTGTATGTATATACCTGTTACTCGTCTGGCATATACTCCAACTGCGAAAATAATGACAATTATAATTTATGTAGATCCCTGGATAAAAGATTGTCACAAGTTACTTTCGGTAACTCACGATTGAAGTTTGGAATGCAATTTCTCAGGAACTAGACTACAGATTTTCTCCAAAGTGTCGGAGAACGATATGTACTAGTTCCTGAAATTCTTAAATTTTTTATTTTTTTAATTTAGTGTCAACCATTTAGGAGTTTAATAAAATTTTGTCGAATACGATATTTGTCAAAAAATTTGCAGTCAGTTTCAATGATATACGCCAAAATGTGATAACAATTTTTATAAATTAACGATACTTTTTACTAATCCGCCTAATCGTGAGTTTCGCCCGAACCAAATTTCGCCAACAGTTTTTTCATCCACCTGTAGTGAATACACGCAAACGAAAAGTAAAAAGTGACCCGGTTCTAGAAAATGAAACTCATGATAAAGCTGAATATGTCGGAAACTAAAGAAGAACAGATAACTCTATTTGAAAGATTTTGATTAGTTTAGTACGACAGCAATACTAACGCAATTTGTACCAAATAACCGAAAACATTTTAGTCAATTAGTCGGAAACTAAAGAAGATATCCAAAAACCACAAATTGTCAAAATGACGCTTCCGGCAATTTTCCATCCAGGCGACGATATTTGAATAGGTTTGTATAGTTACCAATAGTCAGTACTAATTTGTACTGGAACCTGCAAACTTTTACTGCAAAAGTGTATGATAACCCAAAAAATTTGCAAGAGAGCACTGAATCGAGAGCGTAACAAAACGAGAGAGCTGCAAATTCTTGCTAGTGAAATTTTTACTAGCAGAAATTAGCTAGCAGAAGAAGAAGAAGAATAAATGTCAAAAGAATATATAAAAAGTGGTGTTACTAGCTCAGTTGATTTTGTGTATGTGTTTCGCCGCACGGCTTCTGATATCTGATATCAAATTGAAAAATTTTGTTTGAATTTCTACACACACTTACAGATTTTGACAGTTTATGCCGCCAAAGCAAAAACAAAATACATGTAAATTTTTGTTTTTTGTACTCCTGCTAACACCTTATATTGATTCGCCTTGGCACAAACAAAAGTAAAATGAGTGGAAATCATAATATTAATGATGTACTGGACAGTGTAAGTGCTTGTGTGTAAAGCAAAGAGTTTAAAACTGATTTATAAATAGTAAAATGTTTACAGCAGATTGTCAAAGCAGTGCAACAACTGTTCTCTTGTAAGTTTTTGCTAGTTTTGTGTTCAATAACCTCTTCTGCTAGTTTTCTCTTCTTCTCAATTTTACGCTCTATTTTGCTTTTACGCTCTCGCTGCAATGTTTTACTGGATAAGTTACTATACAAACCTAATGTTACTCGCATGTTTTCGAGCCTGTATGTAAATTTTCGGGAAAAAGGTTAAAAAGTATATTCATCTGCTGAAAAGATATTTTCGCAGATTCGCAATTTATTTAAAATAAATCTATCAGCCCTATCTCCAATTCTATGTGAATAAATCTCTCCAGTGCTTAAATAATTTTCACCACATTAAATAGCTGCACAACACCCTAATTGCCGAAAAAGCGTTGCTTGCAACACTAGTCCTTTATGGGGACCAAACTTGGTGAAAAAAATAGCTAAGTTTGTTTACTGGATATACTGAGGACAGAACAATTTGAAAATAGGGATGTCGAAAATATTTCAATATAAAAAATGGTACAATTTTAATGCTTTTAAAAGTCGACTGTCCGACAAATCGATTTCTTCGGTAGATATAGTGATGTTCCGATATCAGTGAAAACTATCTCCTGAAATTGAATCAAAATAAATTAAAATGTACTTTAATAAATTTAAGGAAAAATGTTGTTATAAACTTACAAATTGGTCATAGGCAAAAGATTGTTTCTTTTCTTTACTTTTT